TTAGTTTGGTCGAATTCATATTCGACCATGGATTCAACTAGAATCTTGATCGGCTGCGACACGACAGTCTACAAACGCAGGATCGTTGTTTGGATCGCTGCTTGCGTGGGATCTTTGCCTGTGCCGGGAGCGCTTTGACTCGTGGACCACCAAATCACAGATTCTGATTGAACCGTGAGGGGTTTAATGATTCTTCCTTCGTTTATCGAAGTAAGAATTTGAAGCGAATATCTTATCGATGTAAGATGTTCACTCTTCCAAAGATCAAGTCTGAGCTTAGATCTCTAGGAATCGCCAAAAGCTTCTTGAGGATGTTTGTGAAGAAGGAAGACTCTCTCTCTTGCTCTAATTCACCAAAACTCAAGGCTCTCTGCTCTAATCTCTATGGAAAATGCTCAGCCCCTGTCAATGATGGCCATAGGGGGGTATTTATAGCCTCCTTAGACGATAACTGAAGAAATAGCCGATCAACAATTGCCTCTTTAGACGCGGCAGTTGATGCTGTCGCGGCTAAAGGGCGCGACAGTCGACACTGTCGCGGCCAAAGGGCGCGACAGTCGACACTGCCGCGGCTAAAGGGGCAGTTACACCCACGTTCATACGTGTTTGAAACAGTTCTCCCACGACCTTTAACCACCTTTTTCGTGGTTTAACTGCCTGTCCACGTCAGCACACGTTCTATCTCTGATATGCCGCCACGTGGACTTCAAATAATCATCGATAACTCCCTTAAAACTGCCACAACATTCTTCTTTAATTGCCTGCTGCGTCTTAGCCGCGGCACCATGGGTTGCCGCGCTTCAGCCGCGGCACCATGTACTACCGCGCCCACACGCTGTAGTTTGCATTGTTCTGTGAATTCACATTGTTTTGTGTTGATTCATAGATCCTTTTGCTTCCTTTGGGCTTGTATGATCTCCCATGACTTAGATACTGATGTTTATCACATTCTCTTTGTTTTGAGTGGTATTTGGATGTCTGTAAGCATTTTTTGACGTCTACAGACTCCACTAAAATTGATATTACTGAAGATGTGATTTTGTTAGCTACAGATGATATAAATAGGAGCATGGATGATATGGCTTGTTTGTTCGAGGAAGATCGAAAGAAAGGGGCTTTGGAGGTAACATGTATAAATCGAAGTACACGAATCTGACCTGCATATATTGCAAGAAGAAATGACACATCAAGACCGATTGTTACAAATTGAAGAACAAAAATAAACAAGAAGAGTATGAAGAAAAATCAAAGGAGGACTCCGTAGAAGTTAATATTGCTGAAAATGTGATTTTGTTGGCTACAAATGATATAAACATGAGCATGGATGATTGAATTTTGGATTCAGGTTGTCCCTATCATATGTGCTCCTAATCGGAACTGGTTCACTGCTTATGAAGCTATTGATGGTGGAATTGTTCTTATGGGGAACAACACCTCATGCAAGACTGTTGGGAAATGCACAATTCGGATTATGATGCATGATGGAGCCATCAGGACTTTGACAGATGTTAGGTATATTTCAGGTTTAAGGAAGAGTCTCATCTCTTTGGGCACTCTTGATAGCATTGTGTGTAATTTTTCAGGTGAAGGTGGAGTTCTTAGTGTTACAAAAGGCTCTCTTGTAGTTATGAAAGGAAAGAAGATCGGCAACTTGTATGTTTTGCATGGTTCAATCATTCTCGGCTCGACTGTAGTTGCATCGTCGATGGCAGAAGTTGATATTACCAGATTATGGCATATGAGACTTGGTCATATGAGTGAGCGTGGATTGACCAAGTTGAGTAAGAAGGGTCTTTTATGTGGACAGAGTACAGAAAAATTAGGATTTTGCGAGCATTGCATCTTTGAGAAACAGAAAAGAGTCAGCTTCAGTACGACAGTGCATCGGACTAAATATACTTTGGATTATATCCATTCAGATCTTTGGAGACTGTGATGGTGTTCTCATTTCATCAAAGTGTAACTCAGTGCCATGCAACGAACAAGTGTACTTTTGCGTGCTATGCCCCAATTAACTTGGCGGCCAAAGACCAATAGGGACGACGACTCAGCCGACTTCTCGAGCCGACTTCCCTCCATGTCGACTCAAAAGGAGGTACTTGTCGCCACCTTTTGTCGAAGATGACTCACCTCGAGTCTACTCGACCACTTGATGGCCAAAGACCAATAGAACCGACAACTCAGCCAACTAGTTGAGCCGACATCCCTCCATGTCGACTCGAAAGACGTTACTTCTCGGTGAAGCTAAATGACTATTTTCGTCTTGAGCCTCTCCCCTATGACAATGTGTCAACATCGCATTTAATACTTGACAGATGCTATCATGACTCTAGCCCAGATAGTCTTCATGACTCATCGGATCACGTGGGCCCTGCCACACCGATAATCTCTTCCCATTTAATGCGAAAACGACATTCCCTCCACTCGCTAGTCGACACCTGTAAAGCAAGTACTGACGTGGCCGCCAACACATACTTTGCTATCGCTTCTCTGTGCTCGTCCGAAGTGACCCATTTGCCCTTACCAACTTAGTATAAATATATGTACTATTCTACCTTACAGGAGGCTGGAAATTTGATTTCTAAATCTAAGCCTTAAGCAATCACATGCACAAGAATTCCTAGTTCTTATTTGCCCCACTCAAGTTAATTATCTAACTTGATCGTCGAAGGTACAACGGGAGAACCAAACCTCATCCTCTTATAAATTTCTACTTGTGTAGATTTTTTAGATACCCCAATTCAAGAACTAGATATAAAGTCAGGGAAGAAAATAGCCCCTTCATAAATCTTTAAAAAATTCATCCAAACACGGATATAATTGACTGCGTGATCACTAGAACATCAACATGGACCTTCTCAAGTTGCCTCGAGGGGTGGTAGTTCCAAATATTTATTGACCTTCATTGATGACTACTCCAGGAAGGTTTGGGTCTACTTTTTAAGACATAAATATGAGGTATTTGTGACTTTAAGTAGTGAAAGTCTTTGATTAAGAAGCAGACTGAGAAGCTAATTAAGAGGCTTATAACTGATAATGGCCTTGAGTTTTGTGAAGAAAAATTTAATGAGCTCTGCAAGAAGGAGGGAATCGTTAGACATTGTGCAGTCCCTCGCACGTCGCAACAGAATGGAGTGGCAGAACGTATGAATAGAACCATATTAGAGAAAGTTCGTTGTATAATGTTCAATCCATGTTTAGGTAAGAAATACTGGGCGGAAGCAGTGAATACGACTTGTTACTTAGTGAATCAGTTGCAATCTACTGCTATTAGTTGTAAAGCTCCAGAGGAGGTTTGGTCCGATAAGCCTGCAGATTATTCTAATCTTAGAATATTTGGTTGTCCTGCATATGCACATGTTAGTCAAGGGAAACTTGAGCCGCGAGTGAAGAAGTGCATATTCCTAGGTTATGCATTGGGTGTTAAGGGTTTTAGGTTGTGGTGTCCTGATCCGAAGTCTCCTAAGATTATTATTAGTCGTGATGTTACTTTTAATGAATCTGCTATGTTCCATCAGAAATGGTCATTGGTTTCAGTTGTTGATAAGGCGTGCACTACAAAACATAAGGTGGAGTTAGAAATTCGTGATTCAACTCTTCAGC